GATTGTTTAAAAAACTTGCACCTGTTTCTAGCCTGTACTTGCCTAGTTTCAGATTCTAATTTTTAGGTCTATTTATGGTTCTTGCTGGCAAAAATAGTCTAATCACAGATTCTTTTAATAATATTGCTTTTTTCAAAGTAGCTATTGCTGTAGTGTCATGGTACTTGAACCTCTGTCTTGAGATTTTAGAATAAGCTGTTGGGGTAACTAGAAGGAAGTGGCAGCTTTCTGTTGGGTAAGGTTTTTGAAATTTTACTCAAAATCTTCTATATTTTAAGAGTTTGCTTATGTTGCCTGGAAGCGGGGGGGCGTGAGGGGAGTGTAGTTGCATAGGGAAACTGACACATTTTGGTATAAGTGTTTAAGCTGGGATTCTTTCCAATCTTATATTTTTAGATTGATCCTTTCTGAGGTCTCTTTACCTCGGAATATTTGAATGTAGTGGTATCTACATGCATTATACTGTTGCTAACTCTTTCTTATGCTGGATGGGGAGCTTGTTGGGGTTTGGGTGTGACTTGGGGGGGTGTCAGCTGCTCATGCAGTTCAGATCTTCTCATTCTCTTTATTCTGTATTTTTGCTTACTTCTTGTTGCTTAAGAACTCAGAAGAAATGTTGGTATTGGTATTTAGGGGTGTGATTTTTTTCTTCCATTAGGTTTGTATACTTGAGTGTGTTTGGTAAAAGATGTCATATTCTACATTCCAGCTGAAGACATTTCTTGTAGCTCATGCTGTCCATCATTGGTAATTGCTTAGAGAATATCTGTCTGCAGAAGAAGCTCTTATACTATCTCCTGTAAACTCCCTCAAATACCTGTTGACCTTTCTCTTCATCTGACTGTTTTCTTATGTTTGTCTGAAAATGTCACTTCCTGGAAGACTTGGAACTGATCATACAGTTAGTGGTAGAATTTTTCATCTCTATTGAGTCTCTATGTATTTTGTTCATACACTTAGGTATTCTACTGAGTGACTGAAGGAAAGTAGACTGTCATTCACACCTCCTTAATGACTCTAATTGGATTATAGTGCTGTTAGAAATCAACAGCTTTTGTATGTTTATATAGTGGTTCCCGCAGTGTAAACAGATGTGAGTTCAAAACTTGTTTTCCAATTTATGGCTGTTTCATGCAGTTTGAATCTAGAAAGAGATGAAGTTGGTAGAATGATGGAGCTTTTATTATTGCTGTTGTATGCAGCACCTGGGACTGAAAATTTAAAGGAAAGGTAAAGGCAAAATCTTCACAATTTTTGCACCATCAAGATTAAGGGCCATGAAGGTGCACAAAGCATATCACCAGTGACTTATTTTAGTGAGCCAGACTCACTGTAACTACTCAAACATCATTAATCTTTTCCACACAGGGGGATCATATTTGGGGATGTGCATGTTAGCCATGGTTTTCACCAAAACAATTTCTATTTATGAATAAAGCACACTCATTGTAAAGCATCCTTTTCAAATTAGGTTAATGTGCATATACATTGAACATCTTTTTATTAAGGTCTGAGATACATTGTTACCCTGTTTTTCTAAAGATTCCATTTTTTCAGTGATGGTTGATGCTTTGCAAAAAGAATTTTATACCTATTAACAAATTGTTTGCCGATCTAGTCAGAAGGTAAAGGCTGTCACTTGCCTCCAGAAACTGAGTTTTGAAAATGAGAAACATACCTCCAAAATACAGTATCCCCACACTGAAGTATTTTGATTCTGAAGTGTTCAGTAACACTTCCTATTTCTCATTTGTCTGTAAGCCATTTCCTTGGCTCCTGTACAGTGTGCTGTCTCTTGGTGAGAACATGACTGTGGGGAATGATGTCTCGTTCTGGTGACCTCATTGTCATTCTCTCTAGCTGCATCTTACGCAGAGCCCTCTGCTAGCCTTGGAAAAGCTTTCCAGACTACTGAGCTGTGGTTTCAAATCTTTCAGTTGGTAGAAATTTTCAGCTGCTTTTGTTACTGAATTGAGCACATTGCTGCCAGAATAGAATGTGAGTAACTTTAACAGGAATACATGAAAGTTATTTCCCCATAAGTGGGTCATAGTAGAAGTGATCCTAAATGGTATGACTTGTATTTTTTCTCTTTAGGCTAGTCTTTTGCCACTTTGAAAGTTGTTTCTTTGCTCTGCAGTTAAGGGAGAGAAGGACTGTTACTGTTCAACAGTGTTAATGAGCTTGGATTTGATAGTCAAAGTGACAGCTCAGTCCTTCATTTTTTTTAATTGTTTGAGAGAAATATAGATGTGACATGGGTCACATTGAGAAAAGGGACTGAAGAACTTCAGTTTGAACGCCTGTCAGTCAGTGCATCTGTTAAAACATTGCATTGTACTTCTGGTACTGAAATTTGGATAGATGATAATGCTGGTTTTTTTATAATGATTTTTTTTTTAAATTTGAAATTAAATTAAATTTTAAAATTATAATTTGTTAAAAATATAAACCTAATAGCACTTCAGAAAAATGTAAGGGCTAATAAAACACTCTTTGTGTAACAATGCATTTTGCTGAGAGCATTTATGTTATATTGCCATGGTTTCCCACCGCATGCTATGCACATTGGCCTATAAACTGGGAAGTTATTTTCTGGATGACATCAAGTGATGTCAGACTTTGTCAAATTGAGAATGAAATATATGACTAAAAAAAAGTCTCTATTTGAGCTTCTGAGCCCAAGCTAAAGACTGGAACGAAGAGGTTTATAAATTTTAACCTAAAAATATCCTAGATGCTTATGAGATGGTAGTCAGAGCTAGTGCACTGGGTGTTTGAGCTGTGAATTTCTGGAAATAAAAGCTTGGATTATTGCACTTTGACTAAGACTCGGCTCTTCTTAGACAGAGGACTGTAACAGTCATAAACTTTACACAAAATGGACCAGTCTGGTGGAATTGCTCCGATACTATGGTATTGTAACTATGCAAGTTACTCAGATTTATTCTTTGACCTTTTTTGTAAAGGTGAAGCAGTGGTCGATAGTAGACATGACATGATCTTAATAATAATATGTAATTAATACATACAAATACTTAATGGGAGGATGCCAGGGGGATGGGAGTAGTCTTTTTTCAGTGGCACCCAGTGATAGGACGAGGGGTAATGGGCATAAACTTGAACATAGGAAGTTCCATCTTAACATGAGAAGGAACTTCTTTACTTTGAGGGTAGTGGAGCACTGGAACAGGCTGCCCAGAGAGGTGGTGGAGTCTCCCACTCTGGAGACATTCAAAACCCGCCTGGACGCTGTCCTGTGTAACGTGCTGTAGGTGACCCTGCTCTGGCAGGAGGGTTGGACTAGATGATCTCCAGAGGTCCCTTCCAACCCTAACAATTCTGTGAATTCTGTGAATTCTGTGAATTCTGTGAATTCTGTGAATTCTGTGAATTCTGTGAATTCTGTGAATTCTGTGAATTCTGTGATCTTGATCTGTGAGATTAATAAAACCAGTTCTATTATATTTGCAGAGCTCAGTAAGATCTGTCTGTATCCCCAAATATTCCAGCACAGCACCCCAGCAAGTTACTTGAAATTTGTTTGAATCTCTGGAAACTTTATCAGTTTATCATAGAATTTTTCAAATACTTTTAATAACCTTTTTAGGAAAAATATCCCAATTTAAATATGCAGAGATATTCATATTTTTGTTGTCAGTGTTTGGTTAACAGTTGTCAATGTTGTGTTTTGCTTTTCTGTAAACTTTGGATTGGCTTTTAATTGCAATTGGACTAGAGGATTGCTGTAGGTCCCTTCCAACTGAACTATTCTATTCTGATTCTCACATATCAAATGGTGATTGCTCCTTTTCATTGGAACATTTTCAGTATACTGGAAAAACCATGTCATGTGGGTCAAGTGGCGCTGTTCCTCCTAAAAGCAGTTAGGCTATGCTTGTTGTTTCTTTCATGGCTTGCTGCTTGTCTTCCTTCCTTTCTGTTATCCACTGTCTGCTCCTTAATGCACTTTGAGGAAAAAGTATTTTTGCCTGGGGGAGGAAGCAGGGAGGGAGTGTGTTGGGTTTTGTAACTAAGGCTTGTTTTAAATCCCTACAACTATTTTGGCTTACATTAGTCATTGAGCAACTCTATATTTTAAAGAAGCTTGAAAAGGTTATGTTATATTGAGAGTCTGATGCGTATCTTTCTGATGCCTTGAAATATTTTAGGACTGGAATGGGCCATTTTTGTCTACTGTTAGAATAACCTGTTGTTTAACCCAAGCTTTAAAACAGCACTCTTCATTTTGTGTGTGAATCTCAAAACTTTTACTGATTCTTAAAGATCATGATGGAACATTGTGCTTAGAACCGAGATGATACCGGTTTTGTTGACAGTGAGTTTCAAAACCATGCTTTACTAAAAGCTCTTACATTCCTAAATGGCTTTATAATTAACTCTGCATTTAACTTGTGAGGTTTATGGACCGTACTGATTGGAACAATGAGTTCTGAATTCAAGACAAAACACGCTATGATGGGGTTTGCAGCTCTTGCAGCTCATACCCCATTGTTAACAAAAGAAGTGACTACAATTTTTTTGTAGTAGTTACTTCATGTCTTGACAAGTTGTGTATGATGTGTTTATTGTGCAGAAGGTTAGAGAGAGGGCCCTTCTGGTTTTTTGTTTGGTTTTTTTTTAAACTGAATGATTGCTAGATGTGCCTGTGTACACATCCTGTAGTTCAAGTACAGGATGTAGGGCTTTTCCTTTTCTGAAGCCTTGCATAGACAAGCAAAGATGCTGAGATATAATCTAGAAAACCCCTGGGATAAATTTTTCTGCAATAATGTTGCTGATGTATGTGCTGTTCTTTTGGGGTTCATGGCAACAACAGTGTAGGATTGTGCTCTAACATAATTCAGTGAACTTGTGTGAATCATTAGAATTACTTAGAGTAAACCAACTTAGGATGTGGCTTCTGTTTTGAAGCTGCAGTTTGTTTATAAGCGATGTGTTTTTAGTAATGAGATGCTGACTAGCATTTGTGTCTCTAGAGAAGAAGAGGAACGTCTGAGAAATAAGATCCGAGCAGATCATGAAAAGGCTCTGGAAGAGGCTAAGGAGAAATTGAAGAAATCACGTGATGAGATTCAAGCTGAGATTCAGACAGAAAAGAACAAAGTAGTGCAAGAGTTGAAAAAGAAAGACAGCAAGCCACTGCCCCCTGTTCCTTTACCAAATCTTATAGGGATAAACAGTGGAGAACCAGCAGACCCGGATATCCGAGAGAAGAGGAACAAAATTAAAGAGGTAAAGATGATGATGATGTGGTCCTACCCGTTCTTGTATCTAATAGCATATTTATATGGTGTTTCATTGTCGTTATGATTTATATTAAAATGAAAAGAAAAACAGGACTACAAATCTTTTAAATAAACAGAAAGCCAAAAGTGTACATCAGGTATTAATGAATATCAGCATTATTGCATGTTTTTTTCCCTGCTGTTGGGGTGTTAATATTTCACTGGATAACAATTAAAAAATCTTTTAAGGATTTCTTCAACTTAGAGGTATGGGTTCAAAGTGTGTTTGTCATTAGCATGTGGAACAGCAACAAGCACATTTTTAAAGCAGAGCCTGACTTTATCAGGGCCCATTCAAAGACTGGGATGTGTCAGTGTCATGGGATATTTTCAAAGGTTTAAAAAGTGGTTTGAAAAGATAGGAAAAAAAAATTACCTGCTGCTAAAATTTGCAAATTACCAAACTATCACATGCATTTCAAAGGAAGTTTTAAATGGGTATAAAAAAACCCCTAGGAACTCATTTAAGCAGATTGCCTTATTTACCTGTAAAACATTCAAATTAAGATGTTGGCTTAGGCTTTTGGTTCTGTGGCAGCCTGTGCTATGGGAATTGCTGTTTCTGGTCTTATCCTTTACGCTCCTGGTTGACCATGAGATTCGTTGCTCTCTTTTGCCGTGGTGATCCTAATGTCTGTTACTATTGCCAGACACTTCTGAGTCTGTACTTCAAGCTAGCATGGCAGAAACATTATAGTGCCTTCTTTTTATTTATTTTTTTTTTTCAATCTGATTAGTTTTACGTCTAAAAATCGGGTTAGTAAGCGGGAATGGTTCAGGCCAGAGGTAGACAAGCACAGGCTCTGTAATTAAAGAACATCCAGGACCGCAACTCTTAGTAGTTACATCATCTAAATCCTCTTTTAAATTGTCATCTGAGTTTAGTTAGCTCATAAAAATAAGTCAGTCATACAGCTGTCCTTGTAGTAGGGAGGAGTTGCAGCTGGATTATGTGCCATGCCGTGGGTAGATCACCCAAGTTGGAATTTTACTTTGAATGTTAATGATGACTGGATGAAATCCACTCTTATCAAATAATGAACAACAGCTTATGATACATGAGTGACATAGCATGGAGCTGTATCACTATTTGAATCTCTCAAGCAGCAAATCCTTCCCTGGAAGGTGTGCCTGTTCTGTTAGTGACTGCTGCAGAAGCACTTTTGAATGAGAGTTTTGTGTGGAATATTGGACCTCCTTGATCCTTCTTGTTTAGGGCTGTTGTTCAAAGGACAGCACCAAATTGTGGATTTCAAAAGGCTCTACTACTATTTAAAACTATGTCCTCAAACATTTTCAGTGAGAATATACAGAGAATCTTGCTTTTCAAAATGTCTTCTCTATGTTGAAGATGAACAGTGAATGGTATGGTCGTGTAGTTGTCAATACTTCTTAATTTTAAATACAGATTACTGTACTTATATACCCTTGAGTTTGCCACTGATGGATTTAATTGGTAGAGTAAAATGGAGTTGACCAAGTGATGTGAAAGTGCTGAGCACAGCGAACAATGAAGAACTAGCTGGAAGAAATCAACTAAATTTCCTATAGGTCAAGCCTGGAATTGGAGGGAGGGTTGAAAATTAGTATTTGCATTTCTGAGGCTGTTTTGTCAGAATGTAGACTGAGAGGAGATGAGAAGCTATAGGTTAATACAGAACGGTAATTTTCTTGGTGACATGAATAAGTAATAAAGTTTGGACAATTTTTGCTGATCTAAATATGAAGGTGTAGCAACTTGTGAGTAAGGAATCTGAGGTAGTTTAACTAATAGCTCTGGTGATCCTTAGTCGCAGTTGCCACAAATCTCATGCTGTAAAAGTCTTACTCCTTTTTTTGGTGATCAGCCTACATGTGAGTCACACTGACAGGCTGTTTTTTTTATTGCATAACTTGTTGATGGCTCCTGTTGTGATTTCTGAAGTGTAGTGTTTCATAGCCAGAGCAAAGATTTTATGGGGCTGGTTATTAGGTGGGTCAATACTTCAGTTAGCATAATCATACCTTTGTACTGAGCAGTCTTCAACAGTGTGACCACTGTGCTTGAACAGCCCAGGATCATACTATCATGACTGAACTTTTTGTCTTTCCATCAACTGCCTTCATTGAGTCAATCTTGTTAGTACTGTGGCTATCAAGCAGTCTCCAGAATTTTTAAATTCTTTGATGGAGGACATCAGATTATCACTTCTAAATCTAGGTGCATGAAGAGGCAGAATACAGGAGTAGAAGGTCTGCTAGTGATAATGCTGAAGAACCCATTGTTTGTACATTGTCATTTTTGTTTGGCCACTGTCTACTGGATTTTGGCATCTGCTATGTTGCAATGAATAACGTGGCTGAGACAAAACATGTATCGACAGTGTCAGATGAATAATATTTTGCCTGAAACCTGTTTTTGACAGCATCAGATGTATCACAGAAGGCTGCAGTGATTCCAGAGATTCCCAGTGCATTTTGAAATGTTCTGTGGTCATCGCCGAGGTTTTCTCTCACTTTTTTGTAACCAGTGTAGACTAATAAAAATAGTTTTCGTAGATGAGGTAGAGACTTAACCAAAAAAAGAAAAATTTCCAGGAGACAGTCTCTCTAACATAGTTCTACACTTAATTTATGTAACATTTCTGACATGCAACACATTATAGTTGTCTGGATTGAGAGCAAAAATATAGCACAGAGAAGCTCCTAGCTCTTTAGAGGCTGCGTATCTGGCTTCAAAATTCCAGGTGGTCCTGAGAAGGCATTTGGCTCATTGCCTTGGTTTACTCTGAATTGTCCTGATACATGTTTGTGAAACTTCACTTTCGTAGAGTAGCTTTAGACTGCTTAAATTCACAAAATTAATGAATTTATACAGCCTATTTCACCTAGTATCGAATGGTGAAAAACCATGTAGAATTAGGCTGACTGGAGACAATTTGTAACATGCACATGGCTCTCTACAATTGGGAAAAAGACTGGAAAACTTTCACATGGGGATCTCGTGTCTATCATTTTTACAGAAAATTTGCTACTACTTTTTCTTTCAAAAGAACAACTTGAAGTCTTTTTTTAACAGATCTTTGCATAAAAAGTGGTTTTGCAGTACTTAAATATTTTAAGAATACATATTTTGATTTTTTTAAAGTGCATATAAAAGTAAAAAGAAGTTGTATAATGCTCTTAAGAGAGCTTTGTTAAGCATTTGAAAGCTTTATATAATAGGAATGTTTGCTGAGCACAGAGAGGGAGGCTTTTTAAGGTCATGGAATACACCAGGAACAGAATCTGCATCTCTTGGTTTTGTTTTTGTGTCTTTTGCTTCTGATATTTATATTTAGTGTTACACTGTGTTCTTAATTGTAACTAATTCACAGAATTTTATAATTTGTCTATATTATTCTAACAAGCTATTAATTCAGATATTTCAATAAGGACCATTCACGAGTTGGCTGATTATTTTAGATGCACAGTAACAACTTTGAGAAGCAAAACTTTTCCACCTGCTTATGGTACATGCTTTGTAGCACTTCCCTAATATATTAGCTTGCTGTTCTGGCTTTTAAACCTGCTGTAGTTTTTAATTAACTGGTATGAAAAGAATAAATGCATCTGAAAATTATTTCTGCTGCTACACTTTAGCTTTGTATTAGTATTTTAGAGATTTTTTTCATACTAAGTAGAAGATAAGAAAATGGTTTTATAAGAGTAGATGCAACATATAATTTTCAAAAAATTTTTGAGATGTGTCTTTTTATTGTGGTTAATGCAAAGAAATTAAGAACAAAACTCATCTTTTGAAAGTCATTGGCTTCCTCTCCAAGTGAAATTAGATATAAATTACATGAGCACTTGGAATTTTTGGCACTTAATTTCTATTATTATGTCCTTTAAATGGTGTTCAGAACATGATTTTTTTTCTGCAGTTTCAGTATAATCATTACGTAGTGCTCTTTTTTAAAATGAGTTTTGTTTTTTTAAGAAGCTAAATTTTACCCAGTCAAATAAGGAAAATTTTATTTTTCTTTTCACCCTATTCAGGGATTAGGTTTTCTTTCATTTCAGCCTAAGATTTCACAGTATTACCTTATTGCCAGCGTTCATTTTGGATACTTGTTAAAATAGTGTATTTCGTGCAATAATGGTACTAATCCCATGCAGGATATTCTATGTATACCTTGTTCTAAACATTGAAATGTTTGTTGTTTGTTTTGAGTTTTTAGGTTGTTAAAGTCCATGGGTGTTTGCTCTGAGAAGTATTGAAATTGTGGATGCGTGAGCTTTACATACAAGTCAGTATGTAGTACATTACATGCAGTATCAGTTTTACATATGTACTGACTACAGAGCTCTGGGGGTGATTGTCAGGGACCTGGGGGGTGGCCTGGGTCCTGGTCTCCTTGTTCCTGCCAGTAAGGGGAAAGGGTGTGAGGAGCAGGGCACTGGCAATGCACACCAGCAGGTGGTTGTGGAGCTGGTGGTGTTTTGGGGTTCTACAACCATGGGACCCTGTTTGTGGGGTCTGCCTGGGAGAGACGGGATCCACCACACTGAGGCAGGACAAAGACATCTTTGCCAGCAGGATGGCTGATCTCCTAATGAGGGCTTCGAACTAGGAATGATGGGGGAGGGAGAGAGTGACCAGCAGCCCTGTTGAGGGAGTGAACTAACAGAGTGGATGAGCAGAGGGCCTGCAGTGATGTGACAGAAAGGCTTCACAAAAGCCTTCAGCAAAACAGGGCTTAAGTAGGGTCACATCTAGCATTTGCGTATAAGCAAGGAAGTGCCTACAAGGCACCATTATGGAGAAATCCCTAAAACCCTTTCTGGGAAATCAGCATGCCAGGGTACCTCTCTGAAGTGTGCGTACAGTAATATGTGCGGCACGGGGGACTAAACATGAGTCAGAGATCTGTGTGCATTTGCAGGGCAGTGATCTTGTTGGGATCACGGAGATGTGGTGGGATG